CACTTTTATTCTCACATTTAAATCAAAGATTTTAAGCAACTGCATAAAATTTTTTTTTATAACCAGCCTTTAAAAAAAGATGACTGTAATAAGCGGTGTATGCAGCTGGCCACTGTGGGGAAACTCCAGGTGGCATTAGGTGGCTAATTTTATTAGCCATGAAAATTATTTTTTAAGGACTCAAGGACCTTCTTGTACAAACACAAAGCCTTGAGTCCATTCATATTTTTTTCTTGGCACTTAAAAAAATGTAAATAATATCCAAGCTTCAAGCAATAGCCAGTGAACCAAGCTTCTCAGAGTGTACTGGCAAATTTTCTTTTCTTTCTTTCTTACATCTATTCATATGTTTCCCTGTTGATTATTCTAAATCATATCAAATAAGAAAAAGCAATTTTTTGAATAATTTTTAATGAATAAAATGTCATGGCAGTTAAAAAACACTTTTTATATAATTGTGATAAAAAGGTCTAGGAGTCTGGTTACTTTCAGAAGGCACTGTACTATTATTATTTTAGTTATTCCTTCTGATTACATCCTGTAGCTCATATTCATAATTCAAAGGAAATTATTCATGGAATAAAAATGTGTCTGGTAAAACAATTTTCAAACCCTATAATTAGTTCACTAATTACTTTATAATCACAATTAAAAAAATAAAAAAATAAATCCATCTGACTCCATTATAACCTTTTACAAAGTTAGAGTTAAAGAATTCATACCTGACCAAACACTAAAACAAACCGTTCAAGAATATGGAATATAAAGTATCCTAATACACACAATTTAGACAGTCCATATCCATGTTTCAACATTCACATGTTCATTTCCATACTGTTCCATGAAGAAGCAAGATGAAACATCAAGATCACTTTATTTGAAACAAAACTTGATCATACTTATTTACAATTGAATGACACAGAAAAAAAAGAAAACAAACATGGAACAACCATTCACTCTATGGACTCCAGAATGACACAGATGGTTGAACAAGCAGACTTCATTCTACATATTTGCCAAGAATATCTCCATCCCGGAACAGGAAATAGTCCTACAAAAGAAAAGGAAAATACAAAAATGGCCATTGTAAAATCAAGGCACTATTATACAAATTATAAATATCATTTGGTTACATGTCTTCTATTGAACTTAGCACCATATTTCATTTCTGACAGGAATGAAAACAAAGCTGTGAAGAATAGAAATACTGTGTTCAAATGAACTGAAAAAATAAAAAAATTATGTAATCTAAGATCCTTTATACAGTGCATGCCATTGTAAAGACTATACCTCACAGCCTTGTTTTCATCTGTTAAATTCATTATGGTGTCTGACCTGACTAAAGTCTATAATAACATGCCAAGAGCTTTAAATAATAGACTAAATGTATACATATGAACTAATAATAAGAAATACATAAGAATACAAAAAAATCAATCCTCTTATAATGCAATCATGACCAATGATCTAACCTTATCATCAAGAAAAACTTTTGTTCCTCCATACTCCGGCAGCATAACTTTATCCCCAACTTTGACGCAGACAGGTGTTACTTTCCCATCCTAAAAGACAGACAGCATTTAAACTCTGAGGTACAGCCTGCATCTCACACACTGTAAAGACAATGCTTAAATCAGATCAGAAGATAGGAGTTTATAAAAAAGCTACCTTGTTGGTGGATCCTGGACCCACTGCCACCACTGTAGCCTGCAGCACTTTGGCTTGAGCCTTTTCTGGAATCATGATGCCTCCTTTTGTCACCGTCTCTGCAGCTAGCCGCTCCACCAACACGCGGTCGAACATGGGAAGAAATTTCCGGAAAGCCTGCTTTGGGGCAAAGGCATGCTTAGTACAGTGTAGAAATAGTCGATGCGTGTTTTGCAACACTCCAAAAATGTACAACTAGGGGGCATTGCAGACTAGAAAAGAGAAAATTATTTCCTTTTATTTTTTTCCAAGTCTTCCTTTTCCTCTACAGTTTTTGCTATATTTGTAAATCTATATCCAAAGGTGTTCAAATAATATGAATCAATCAAAAACTATTATGGTTACATTCACTTTTAAAAGCAGGCCTTTAAGTAATGCTTTCCTAAAATGCACTACTGTAAGTTCTTGACTCATTTAAATCTTTAGTTTACCTCCCATACAGATTACAAATTTTAGGCTACTAAATTAGATGCACATTTAAAACGGATACCTTTAAGAACAAAAAAAAACTCTGACCATTACGGTTCAAAGTTTCAAAGACAAGAGCAGCTGCTTGTCTGAGAACAGATGTGTGTGTGACCTTGAGAGAAGGTCATGTGTGAGAGAGGGTAGATGGGATAGGAGATGTTGAGGATTCATGTGGGGGAGGAGAGACGTTTGGAGGTTTTGTAAATGTTTACTATCCTGCCGAAGGACAAAAGGACAGGCAACATGATAACCGTCCAAGGCTGAATGGTTCGGAATGTAGAAGATTCTAGAATGAATCAGTTGTGCATTTCATCTGGCCTCATAATACATTTAAAAGCAATTCACAATTCATGTCACAAATGTCTTTCGTGATTGTCTGGTAGCCAATAACGTGTAAGCATTTTTAATTAATATGCTATGGTAATTTATTACAAGGTTAATCCAGACAAATAAACTGAAAACCCCTCTTGAGACAATATTTCATCTCTATGCCTGAATCTAACTGAAAACTAAATAATCAGAGTTACAGTACATCACAATGCACATGTGTTCGCCTCCATTCAAAAAGACCCGGAAGTTCATATCTTCCTGAAACGCTATTGGCTATAATGATCTTGGAGCTAGCAGTGTGACAACCTGATTCAAGAAATGAAGACGATGGAAATATATTGAGTTTTCACATGCAAGATGTGACCGTACCTGCAAGACAAATACTTTATACGCATGAACAGAAATTATCATTCTACACACTGTCATATAAAATAAAACAGAATATGCTGTAATATAAATATACCACCTTTTTAAACAATCCTTGTCTGTAAACCAACGATTGGCTAAGATTTAGTGATAGCAAACCGGGTTACCTGTGAAATCCCCATTCCTGCTCACAGCGAACCACTCATTTTAAACCATTCTCACAAACACTACGTGTACTAGTAACAGGCTTCGCATCGCATAAATTCCTAACCGTGACCTTGCAGCTGCAATTTACTGAGCGTTATAAAACATAGCGCTATCTCAGTCACACAGATCAAAGAACTATAGAAACAAGTCATTCAGATGGTGCAGCTAGATCAATTATCTTACGCGTCTTACCATTTTTGCTGATCTTTATGAAAAGCGCGTCCGGCAGAGCAGCAACTGGACCACTTCACTAGGGCGATCCACGTGAGGAAGAAATGTCCGGAAGGGTACTGCGCATGCGCCAAAAGCTAATCCTTACCGACCCCCGTGCTAGAATATTCCTCGGTCGCCTAAACCAGGGGTAGGCAAGTTCGGTCCTAGAGACCCGCAGTCCTCCTGCAGAGTTCAGCTCCAACCCTAATCAGACACACCCGAACAAGCTAATCAATGCAGGTGAGGTTTGTTTTCAGGGTTGGAGCTGAACTCCGCAGGACTGCGGCTCTCTAGGACCGAACTTGCCTACCCCTGGCCTAAACGTTACACAAAGACATTTAATTTTTTTTTTACTAGTTTAAAAGGCATTGTTGATTACAAATAACCAAAGAAAGGTAGTAAAAAGCTACCTAAATAAAAAAATATATATATATTAACCCACTCTAAATACTAAATAAATAATTATACAACAAAAATACGAATGTATTGACTTATATAAACCAACATATTATATCATATATAAGACTTTAAACAAAATCAAAGACTTTTGTAAAATGCGATCGCATTTCTTGTTGCACAATCTTGACCTCTGACGTCTTTTTCTCTCCAATAGAATCTGCGAAAATTCTCGAACGTGACGCCCCGGAACGAGCATAACAACAATATAAAGGGCTATTTTAACGCATTTTATTTATATGCTCCTTCAGTGTGAACTAAATATGTTGAGTGACATTGAAACAAAAAGCAAATGAAGGCATCTGTGTATTTAAGAGCTTAATGCGTAGCTATTGTTTGCTCATTTATAACAGTGGGTTATTCAGATGTCAGGGCGGGGGGAGGTTACCCGGATGAAGAACACATGTGAGTTCAGTGTAACTGCAGCAGCTTTAAAACGGCTCCTTTTCTTCTTATATCGTTCAGTCTGCTGTACTGACGGACACGCGTATCCCTTCATTCACCTCCAGATCACTCTGCAGTAAGTCAATTATAGCATTATACTCATTTATAAAAGCCTAGAAACATACTACACCGCATAACGCTGTTTACTGGCCTGGTAATATAAAGATTAATGAGGTCAAAGAGGCAGATATGTAACATCATTTTGTAATGCCAGGGCTCTCAGTTGGTTCTGTCGAGTTGTAAAATAAGATTGTGCACGTTTACCATGTAATTGGCTGTCATTTAATCCTATCGTATTCTAGAACATTTAGACTTTTCTGGCAGATGCTGATGGTGCTCATCAGAATAACGGGCATGAATGCAACCGATATATTATGCATATCACATACATTGCTTGGTAATTATAATGCATCAGTGTCATATCTGCTTTATTGACTACTTTATTATCAAAATAATAAAGCTCAGTCTTAACAGAAATATAGTGGGGAGTATAGCTTGCATGCAAATTCGATGATATTGAGGCCTAAGAATTCTACTCTTGTTATGTATGAAATATTAAATCGGTGTCAGGGCTACAATGGTTAGTTTTGCTCAAACAAAAGGAATACCCCGGGAACTGTGTAACTTGAACGCATGAGGATGAGAGATCATGTCCGGCTCTGTCGTGACGCGGAGGGATTGTGACCTTGTGACGCCCTGAACGCACGTGGGGGAGATGAAAGCCCACTACAGGCTCTGAATGACATGAACATGAACACATTTCAGTTTAGTGTAATTATTACCTGCTGTTATCCTTGCTTTTTTAAAACCTTTTCCCTTCATTTTTATGGTTGATGATCTGGCTTTGAACATTGTAGTAACTGTCCAGGTGAACCATGCCAGTGATGGTTATATCCTTGTATTTTCTAAAGCATGTTTTAATGGAAAGCCTTGATATTTTGAACACGAAATATGATGAGGATACGTGAATGAATGAATCAGGCAAAGATTCATATAATGCTTTCAGGGGCCAGCGGGGGCAAAGACTAATTTTTGGCATCTGGAGGTCTCATGTGACCTCAACACAAGACTTGAATTTTTTGGGGGTGGGAAAGGGGAGTTTGGGAGGTTAAATATCATGCATAAAATGTCTCCACTGCCTGAGCTATCAATACAAATGTGAAAAACCACATGATTACGTTCTATAAAAAAAAAAGCTCCGAAGAGTTCTGTCAGCCAATCAGAAACGGCTCTCTACCAACATCAGCCAATGCCATGGGTTTTGGGCGGGGCTACCTGTTTTACTAAATCAGTTTTCAACCAGAGATTCCGAGAGTGGCTCAAGATCATTTTGCATTATTTATGCATTATTTTATTTATTTGTAAGACTTTTTTATGACTAAATTTGGTAATGGGAGAGTAAAAATATTTTTAAAACGTACACCGTTCAAACTAGGCTGCTTATGTTGAAGTGTTTGGGATGTGGCTTTTAATGATGAGACCTTTTTTGTAATCAGGCTCTCAAAAAGTATATAACAATTTGGATATCGATTTATCGGCCAACATATCGGTTATCGGCTTTCAAAAATAAAGAATAATCGGTTATCGGTATCGGCCAAAATTTTCATATCGGTGCATCCCTACTTAAAATGACAAAACTACTAAAGATCTATGGGAAAACATGAATACATAAGAGAGCCTCATTCTTAAAGTGTGACTCTAGACTTTGAAAAGTCATGTAAATTAATAAAATCTTGTGGGCATTTTTTAAAAGAATATAATTTTATTTTTTTTTCTAGTCATGCCAAGCTCTAAAATATTTTATCAAGTAGAAGTTGAGTAAAAAAAAAATCGTATTACTAATCCTTATCCGATAAATCACAAACAACTGAAATCACAAAAATCTTTTTTTTCTTCTAATGATGTAAAAATCACTTGTATCATGAATAATCTGTATTAAAAAGTGTTCTGCTTCTACTCTCTTTCTCATTAGAAATGCTGCGTTTACCCAGTGTAATGAAACAGATGAGGCCAGTGTGCAGGGCGCTGGCCCCACACCTGACCCGTGCGTATGCCAAGGACGTCAAGTTTGGAGCAGATGCCCGCGCCCTCATGCTCCAGGGCGTTGACCTGCTGGCTGATGCTGTGGCCGTCACCATGGGACCAAAGGTAGGCTGAGTTTAATCAGTCGCCAGGGGAACAGCAGATATGTTACTCCCCTTAAAGTCACATTTGCAATCATTAATGGCAGGAACAACTAGATTCGCCTCTCTACCTCAGGGTCGCACCGTTATCATTGAGCAGAGCTGGGGCAGCCCTAAAGTCACCAAAGATGGTGTCACAGTTGCCAAAAGTATCGACTTGAAGGATAAGTATAAGAACATCGGGGCCAGGCTGGTACAGGACGTGGCTAACAACACAAATGAGGAAGCTGGAGATGGCACCACAACCGCCACAGTTTTGGCCCGTGCTGTTGCCAAGGAAGGATTTGACACCATCAGCAAAGGCGCCAACCCTGTGGAGATCCGTAGAGGAGTCATGCTGGCGGTGGAAGAAGTCATCAATGAACTCAAGAAACTCTCCAAGCCGGTCACAACACCAGAGGAAATTGCTCAGGTAAGAAGTGCCCTAAAAACGCCCACTATATGGTAGGTTTTTAAAAAACATTTTTTTTTAACTTTTAGTTTCTGTCAATCTTTCTTTGATATAGGTGGCCACTATTTCTGCCAATGGAGACACTGAAGTTGGTAACATCATCTCCAATGCTATGAAGAAAGTGGGCCGCAAGGGTGTTATTACAGTGAAGGTAGGCTGCTACACTAAGTAGTATTTAGTACAGGTGGAATGATGGTTTGATCCTTAAAATACCTCACAGTTGGGCTGTAATTCTTGTTTAAAGGATGGTAAAACCCTACATGATGAGCTTGAGATCATTGAGGGCATGAAGTTCGACCGTGGCTACATTTCTCCTTACTTCATCAACACCGCTAAAGGTGTGTATTTTGTAATAGAAGCTCATGTGTTTGTACCAGTATGAATTGGATAGTTCACCTAAAAATTAACATTTTGTCGTCATTTACAAACCCGTATGAGTTTCTTTCTTAGAAGAAGATATTTTGAAGAATGCTGGTAATCAAACAGTTGATGGTCTCCATTGACTTCTATAGTATTTCTTTCCTTTCTGTGGAGGTCAATGGGGGCCAACAACTGTTTGGTTCTTCAAAATATCTCCTTTTGTGTTCGGAACGACACAAGGGTGAGTAAACGATGAAAAAAAATTAAGGCTGGAATGACAACAACACATATTCTCTGTTTGCAGGCCAGAAGTGTGAGTTTCAGGATGCTTACCTGCTTCTGAGTGAGAAGAAGATCTCCAGCGTACAGAGCATCGTGCCAGCACTGGAACTTGCCAACCAGCATCGCAAGCCTCTGGTCATCATTGCTGAAGATGTGGACGGAGAGGCACTCAGCACTCTGGTCCTCAACAGGTTTGTCTCTAAAAACACAAGTTTGCAAGAAATACATGGAATGGATAGATGTGAAATAGAACTTCTGATTCCAGAAATATGGAATCTCCAAATAGATTTCAGAGTATTTGGCTTTTTTTTTTTTTCTTTTCTTAAAAATATTATTTATGTTTATTTTCTTAATGACATTGGCTAATACTACAGGAACTTGCAAGAGATATATCAAAGTAACAACTGTAGTAACGTTTTTTTTTTTAAATTTATTTATTTATTTTTTTGGTAAGGTATGATCCTTTAGAGCAGGGATCCTCAAATCTGGCTCGCGAGATCCACTTTCCTGCAGAGTTTAGCTCCAACCTTGTAATCAAACAAACCTACCTGTGATTTTCTAATGATCCTGAAGACATTGATTAGCAAACTCAGGTGTGTTTGATTAGGGTAGAGCTAAACTCTGCAGGAAAGTGGATCTCGCGAGCCAGATTTGAGGATCACTGCTTTAGAGGTTTAAGAATAGGCTGTTATTTAAAGATTCTGGGTTAAAGGTCAATGCTAAAATTTGCCAACAGGTTGAAGGTTGGACTTCAGGTCGTTGCAGTTAAGGCTCCAGGATTCGGGGACAACAGGAAAAACCAGCTGCAGGATATGGCAATTTCCACTGGAGGCACGGTATGTGCCTAAGCTTTTGTCTTCATCTGTATTCATTACATTAATTAATAGCTCATTTAAAATATCTCATTTATTTAATGCTTTAACATTGTATTATGGCTCGTATCATCTCTTGAGGTATTTGCCATTGCCTATAATAACATGATGAAGTCTGGTAACACAGCTGATCTGTGTGTTTTCAGGTGTTTGGTGATGAGGCTGTGGGTCTGGCCATTGAGGATATCCAGGCACATGATTTTGGCAGAGTCGGCGAGGTCATTGTGACAAAGGATGACACGATGCTCCTCAAAGGCCGTGGTGATTCAGCAGCTATTGAGAAGCGTGTGAATGAGATCGCTGAACAGCTGGAGAGCACTAACAGTGACTATGAGAAGGAGAAACTCAACGAGCGTCTGGCCAAGCTCTCCGATGGAGTGGCTGTGATTAAGGTATGAAAGCAGGAAGAATGTATAGTCATTTGTTAGTATGTGTCCATCACCATGATAAAAGAAAAATCATTCGGTTTATTAGGTTGGAGGAACAAGTGACGTTGAAGTGAATGAGAAGAAAGACCGCGTCACTGATGCGCTGAATGCCACTCGAGCTGCTGTGGAGGAGGGAATAGTTCTTGGAGGAGGATGTGCCCTGCTGCGCTGCATCCCAGCCCTGGACAACATCAAGCCAGCCAATGATGATCTAAAGATTGGTAAGGACTGAAGTGTAGATCTCATCCTCCAGATGTCCTGTAAGAAGTAACCCTCTGTTAACTTCCCCAAACTGACTTTTTTTTTGCTCTTAAAGGTATCGACATCATTCGCAGAGCGCTTCGTATTCCTGCAATGACTATTGCCAAGAATGCAGGAGTTGAGGGCTCTCTGGTGGTGGAGAAGATCTTGCAGAGCGCTCCAGAGATTGGATATGACGCTATGAATGGAGAATATGTCAACATGGTCGAAAGAGGCATTATTGACCCCACAAAGGTGTGTATTTGTGGTTCACTAACTTATGTTATCAGTTTAAATCAGTAATAATGTCAGAGCGGTTTCTGTGAATTAATATCTCGACTTGTATGATATTACAATACTGCCCTACATTATATACACCATTTAAACTTTTTTTTTTTTTTATGATCAGTTACTTATTTTTGTGGAAACCATTTTTTTTAATAGAAAGTTCAAAAGAACAGCATTTTTTGAAATGGAAATAATTTGTAACATTTATAAAAATATATAATTTTTGATTAGTTTAATGCCGCCTTAAAAGCATTCATTTCTTTAAAATAAAGTCTTACTGACATCAAATTTTAATGTATATTTTTATATTTTGTTGTGATGCCAAATAGATGATAATGTACTACCTAAATTATTTTGTAGCATTTACATATTTTTTTTTATCCTGTAATCCGTTATTGGCTGTAAAATTAAAATAATTATTGATAGGGATGTACCAACATCACAATCAAAAACGCAATGCTCCTATGTTCAGTAAGTGTATTGTCTTTGTCTCCCTCTGCAGGTCGTGAGGACTGCTCTGCTAGATGCTGCAGGCGTTGCATCTCTGCTGTCTACTGCTGAAGCCGTTGTCACCGAGATACCAAAGGAGGAGAAGGACATGCCGGCGGGAGGAATGGGAGGCATGGGTGGCATGGGAGGCATGGGTGGCATGGGATTCTAAACCGATCTGCACCGACGTTAGTGAAAGGGTTGTGGGCAGGGGACATGATTTGCCCCTCCCTTTCGAACCTGCCGAAATTGAGTGCTGGTGGTCTGATCATGGAGCAAAAGAAATGGACCTTACAGTCTCCCATCCTTCCACCGCTATGTCCAATCTTATCTCTCTACTCATGGCTGAAGACGTCACCCTACCGTGGGAGAGTCTGTCTGCCTTTGTTCTATATCATTGTGCTCACCAAGTCTAATGGGAAAGTGCATTTAACATTGCATACTGTCATGCTGTTGTGTTGTACGAATATCATTGTCCGTATAGCTGGTTTTGAATCAGACCATCTGTAGGGGCTTTAAAAGCCAGATGTTCAGGTTAAAGTTTGTCTTAATGAGCAAGAAAGTAGTAGGAACTTTGACCACTTCATTGTTCAGTTTTTTTTTTTGTACTGTTCATTTTCATGTAAAAATAACCCCCTCATTTGAGGATTACACAGCTGTGACGAAGCAAGTACTTGTTTTGCCTTCAACTGTTACTTTTGTTTTTCTCACGGAATAGAAATATGTTGATATCCGCTTAAAGAATTGTGTGATGTTTCTTAAAGGGATAGTTCTCCCCCCAAAAAATAATTTACTCATTTACCCACCTTCGTGTTTTTCTAAACCTCTATGACTGTTTTTTTTTTTTCCTGTGGAACACTATATATTATATTTTGAAAGTCCGAGAGGTCCAAAACAACATTCAACAGCATGTTGGAGACTTTTTTTTTTTTCCATAATCTCTTTTGGTTGATGACAATTTTCATTTTTGAGTGAACTGTCCCTTTAAAATCGGGTTGAACATCTTTTGGTCAAGACTAGAGTTTGGTAGGAAGGTTGAGTGGAGGGATGGGTGAACTTGTTGCACAGCAGTTTTTACAACAGCCATGCAAGTGTATGCCCAACAAAATATTGAATACAATTAGTGCGACGTTATTGTAAAGATATAACTTTTGAGTAGTGGTACAGAAGTGTTTAAAAAAAAAAACTGTTTATTAAGAGAATTACTTGTTTTTAAAGCTACATTCTCTATGAATGTGCAACAATGATCATTCAACAATGTTTTGTACAATATAGTCATTAATTCTGTATTTTTTTTATTTAATAAAATTCAGTGTTCACAAAGAAATGAGTTTTGTCCAGTTGATGTCCTAACCAATCAGTGGCTGCCTTGTAAGAAAGATTTTACATTAAAAAATATTTGTATAAATCAACTTAAAACCGTGATAAACTTATTGTTATAGCCTGACACATTTTATCATTAATTCAGCATAAAATGGCACTCACAACTAAGGACAAGCCTTGATTTTTGAGAATTGATTGGATTGTGAAAAGTGGGCATTCCATACCAGACTACTCCCCTCGAAACAGCAGCAGCCTCGGTGACGTCTGAAAAGGCTATTGTCTTAGAAGTGAAGCCAACTACATTTAGACTACTACAAAGACAAACGTTTGTTCCTTTATCATACGTACTGATCGGACCAGGAACATGTTAAGAAACAGGTTCATTCTGATTTCATGTTAAGTCTAGACTTGTTGACGATTATGTGAATAATACAGCAACACTCTTTTAATAATTAAAGTAGATGTTCAGCCTTCAATGATTTCCAAGCTGCATTCACATTTGAAATTACCAGTGAATAACAAACAATATTGGCTGTTCACACTCAAAGTATCTAACAGATCTGCTTTTGCTGATAATTAAAAAAAAAAATTATACGGAGCATTTAAAAGCGTTTTAGTAACTTTCAGTAATCAGTTACCAATAATATTTTATGAATGTGTTCCTTCAGATTACAATAATACTTCTGTCAGCTTATTTAATTACTATTCCAATGGCTACTTTGAAATATTATAATAATACTATTAATTAGTATTTCTTCAAAATGTATTCTGTGAGCAGGATGCACATTTTTTACATACTATTTAAAAATAAAAGTAGTAGGCAGCACACTGTATATCCTGCACATTTTGCATAATGCTAATATTTAATTCCATCTGAGCCAAAGAGTTGTAATTAGATCTCAGGGCCATCACTGTCACTGGCCACTAGGGGTCATGACACAGGTTACTCGGCCTTCTAATATTATCCCTCACATGATCACCCTATTTTAAGTGTGGAAACTAGTCAGAACCAGATGTTGGTAAACAAACACACAAGGCTAGGTTTTACATATAAAAATAGTTTATAAACCATGCAGGCAGGATATATATATATATATTCACCCACAACACGCATTAAAACAAACAAAAAGAAGAGATCCCAAAAAGAAAGAAAAGGGGAAACAAAGATTATCCATTTGTTTTTTTTATAGCTCAATTGTACGCTAAAGATTAGTCTGTGGTCTTACACTGGATATGTACACGTGGTTAACCCATAACCAAAATAAATACAGGATACTCGTATACATGTTTTTAAGATAATGATAAATAATATGAAACCTTCTCTGTAAAAGGCAGTAAGCGAGCGTATGTGGAAGCGAGCAGGGTATGGACTGGAATCTTTAAAGGTCTGTGTTGACGGATACCTCACTGCAATCTGATGAGAGCTCTGGGAAAGGTTCGCTACGTTCCACTCCGTTTCCCAGAGTTTGGGCCCTTTTAGAAGCAGTGGATATCATAGATGGGTGAGCAGTCTGTTAAAAACAACATACAGACATATTGCACACCTCTAGGAGAGAAAAGCAGTCTTTAATCTGGACACTTAAAATCATCTGAGGAGTGAACTGGAGCACCACTGCCAGGACTAAACTGTGCAGAATGGTATAACGCAAGGCAGTGTGGTGAAAGGGAGCCTCTTAGCGTTTATTTTTCATGCCCTTTTTTGTGCTGGTATGCAAGAATACAACAGACCTGAGTCCAGTGTGTAGCCTTGATACCCTGATAGCACTTTGTGCATTTGGCTGCAGCAACAGTCAGTCTTCTGCACACGACGCGCACTCAACTCAAGTTGAGTCTCCTCATCCCTTTCTTGAAATCTTAAAGGATCACCTAAAAGCTTCTCAATAAATACATCACTCACCTGTCGTATGAACTGTGTAACAACAATCTTTCCATAAAATATCTCAAAATAACGTCCTCTCGAAGAAACCCATGACCTTTGTCTATTGTGCCATTCATGAAGCCATTATGGTTTTTGGCAGCTGTTTTAAAAACCATCTCAAGGTCCTCATATTAAAAATATAAGGCTCAAGGTGCCATACTGATAGCGGGTTTTAAAAAGTTAACATGGAGGTAGTGGAGCAGGGCTCAGTGGGCACAATCAAGCTCTCCATGAAAAGATCCAGCCACATTTGTTTTTTTAGCATAATTTTTTTTTTTTTTTTTTTTTTTAATTAACTGGTTTTTT